TAACAAGGCATTTTTGGAGAATCGTTTTGCTTCACTGAACACATAAAGAACGTTTTTGTTTTTCTTGGGATTTTTTGGACATTTATTTGTTTATATTACATACCTTTTTGGAGATTTGGACACTTATTATTATTATTATTATTTTTTGGAGATTTGGACACTTTTTTATTTATTTTAATTTATTATATTTTATTTTATTTATGTTATTTTATCATTTATATTTTGATGATTTTGGAATATATATTAGAGGGGTGGTTTATTATTATTTTAGTTTAGATTTGATCATCACCTTTTGGAATATGTTGGTTTATTGAATTTTTGAGATAGATTGGGCTGATTGGGAAAATTAATCACAAAAAGTACATTTAATAGTTTATTCACTTCCTAGGGAGGAAGTAGTGTTTTGTGGCTGTATAGGAGTTTTTTGATTGATTCTCTAGCAATACACATCAAACCTAAGCATGTGCAGAGTGACTCCACACGATCTGTCTTATCCGGAGATAAGAGGGGGACACTAGAAGAAGGGGAGGATCAGAGAAGTCAGGATCAAACCGTTTTTACACAATGCAGAGGATTAACCCCTTAGGTTCCACAGTCAGTATAACAAGCATGCTGCATTACTGTGTGTTTGTGACAACATAGAATGATCAGAGGATGATGAGATCACATTTAATGCTTTTAATGTGTTTTCTAAACCCAATATTTATTGGAGTTTTTCTTGTCCTTTAACCTGAAAAGTAAAAACGACTGCAGCCATAACCTCTGAGAACATTTTCAGCAAGTACAGAAAATACCTGTTGATTGTGCTGAGAAATAGTGTCCCTTTTCACTTGTGAGCTTCTCTTTATTGTTTAAACTACATCCATTATATGATGGATTGATGGGATTAGTAAACAAAGGCAGACATGCTGGAAGTCCATGACAGCCATGGCTCCCTCCACAGTGGAGGAAAAGCATAGACAAGAAGAGAGAGGAAGTGTGTTTCTGGCAGGATCATCAGGTGTAAATAAAGGAGAAAAAGCTTGAAAAAAAAGCAATCCTAATGCAGCCACCACATCCAGGGACTGGTAAACTGCAATAGGTTGGAATGTTATGCTTGAGTTTAGATATAATCAAGCATATGATCACCATGGGAAAGGAAACCTTATGCAGCCTCCTTGCAGTGGTCTCACATTTTATTGGATGCCATCGGTGTAATGTATCTGCTTATTGCAGATGTCCAATTTGTTCAGCTAGGGGGTTGGGTGTGCCAGTGATTGTAGAGTATAGCCGGAGTTCTCTGCTCCGCCATCCCTGCAATTGAACGTTTGCCATATATAGATTTCCTATGGCTGTGTGTATGTCCAGCCCTCTGAATGGGGCACATTGTCTCTCTGTGTATAGGAATGTGCTGCTGACTCTTGTGGCGGAAGAGATGCTGTTACACGAAGGATCTGCATTCCTCCTGGCGCTGTATATCAGCCCTATACCTTTCACAATCCGGTCTTTCGCACTACTCCTGAGAATGATGCCGTCTGCAGCATGCATGGATGATTTTCAGCCGCAGCAAACATAAAAATGTAGCTTTGATCCTTCCATGGGTAAGGAGCAAGAAGTCATGTAAGCATCACTGCTAGGTCCTGTATATTTGTTAAGACGGCCATAGATTGATTGAATCTCAGTCAGACTGGCCGAGATTCAACCCATTTATGAGTAGGCTGATTGTACCAAAGTCGATCCATCGATTTGACTTGGGTACAACAGCCTGTTGGATTGTTTTTCAACAGTAACCAGAAACCGGCGCTCAAATCTCTTTGCTGCACTCAAAATGGAATAGTGCACTTGCTGAGGTGCTGCCCTTGATAGATCGGGGAATCTTTGATACTAGCAGAAAAAAACAAAACAGGGCGCACTCTCCTCATGCATTAACGCAAAAAACTAAAATTTATTAGATGCAAAAACATACTCACAAGCCATAAAAGTAATAAAAACAGACAAGAAGTCAAAGGTATCAATAAAAAAATAGTGCAGTGCTAAATGAATAATGAGTGTCATCTCCCAAACGCATGTGTATGATTGATGTGTTTTTTGTGATGCGAATAATACTGAGAAATATTACTCAGAAAACGAGCATATTAAAATAATGCAAATACCTATGAGAAACATATAGTCGTGACAAGTACAAAGATATAAAATGTCCAAAATTGTATGAACTTCTTAAAGCTGATGATATCTTCAAAAAACTTCTATATAGTCCCAGAATACTGATTCCATTTGGATGAATATACATAGACATATAGATTGCGCACTCACGGAAGCGCTAATGAAAAGCGCGTTGTATCATAAGCTCCTGGACATGCCCTGGTCCCTCAGGTATAATCAGGTGCGTAGCCGGGGATTGGGTGATCTTCCCAGTGATACTAAGAGTTGATAGCCAGTGCCAATAATCAAACTTTTCCGGGGTGCTGAGAAACTATTGAACGATCCCAGCGCTGGGCATAGAGCATGCGTACAGCATGCATCCTCGGATTAAAGTGCTACCGCGTTTCGGGAGTCGAACTCCCTTCCTCAGAGCAATAGATGAAGGTCCACACATGCTGCCCATGATTGGCACCTTTTGACTTGTCTGTTTTTATGACTTTTATGGCTTGTGAGTATGTGTTTTTTGCATCTTTTTAATACATTTTTGGTTTTTTGCGTTAATGCACGAGGAGAATGCGCCGTTTTGTTTTTTTTCTATGTTGGATTTTTTTTACCTGCTACTACTGCCAGCTGCTAGCAGTAATCATTGTGTTCTGGTGGCAGGAAAGGTTCCCCTCATTAACTGTTGATGGGGAAACGGAGCAATTTTTTTTCTTCTTGCAGCCCGTTGCCTGCCTCAGTGCACAGTTTATCTGAAGAGATGTACAGGATGATACTAGTTCAACTAATGATAGTCAGGGTGACATAAACCAGTCTGTATAGGAAGGATCAGTTAACGTGCAGATAGATAAATACAATTCTAGCTACCGTATATTCTGCATTACATTAACCCAGTGTTTCTCAACTCCAGTCCTCATGGACCCCCAACAGGTCATGTTTTCAGGATTTCCCTCAGATGAAACAGCTGTGGTAATTACTAAGGCAATGAAACTGATCTAAATCACCTGTGCAAAATAATGGAAATCCTGAAAACATGACCTGTTGGGGGTCCATGAGGACTGGAGTTGAGAAACACTGCATTAACCAAACTTCAATAGAAAAGGGCCCATAATGGTCTACAAAGCCAATTGTATGTTCAAATTTTGATTAGAGTAGGGAAGGGTTAAAGGGGTCCCCATTGAAAGATTCCCCTCTATTCCATATTTCTGTTCTGGTGACCGCTTAAAATTTTGGTCACCGGCAAAAAGAGCAATTTTTCTCTAGCGGGGACACGGGACAGCCATAAAGACCTGATGGGGGTTCCAGACCTTCCCACACTGGCCTTCGCTTCATTCATTTAAATGTGGATCTTGCACCTCAGGCAAGGTCTGCAACTTCAGTGCGCCCCTTTTCTTAAAGTGGAACTACACTGCAACTGAGCACCACAAACTAAAAATGCAATTTATTTCATTTTTTTTTTTAATATTCAAAACAAACTCCTCCATCCATCCATGTCTCCATGATATATCTTGCTGACAAAACACTTTGAAAAACATTCCCCAGCATTTCTGGCTGCAGCAATCTTGAGTAAGGGCAGTAGGGTTTACTTCCTGGCATTCATCTTCCCTGTACTTGGGCATGCCGGCAGGAGGGTGTGCTTAGCCAAGAAACCCCTCCTCCACTCATGAAGACCCCTGGGATGTATGACATTATTTGCCTAGGCATGGAAACCAGGAAGTAAATGAAGAAATGTGGGGAAAAGCCGTTAAAGTAAATATGACATACTAATGCTAGCAGCATAGAATATTTTTTAAATTCCGTGTTTTTTGGTAGAGTGACGTTCTGCCTTTAAATGGGGGGGCAATATTTAATATACTTCCGTCTCCCCAACTTCCCTGGTGGATGGGGTGATGTCCTTTTTCCTACCAAAAGATCCCAGGAAGCACTGAGTATCCCGAATCTCAGGCGAAGATGGCGCAGTACAGTGAGCTACTCAGCATTCTCCCGAGATCGGTCTTGAAGGAGGGGATATCCCCATTGCCTAGGCTCTGCAAGGAAAAGTATAGCATCTAACTTCTCCCCGACGATTAAAGGAGAAGTGCAGCAAAGCTTGTTTGGCTGTTCGTCTGTGGATCTCAGGAGTGCAGTCTTTGTACACTCCTGTGACCCATTTTCAGATTTAGCTCTTTCATGAAGGCGCTTGACCAAAGGCCCAAGCCGCTGGGAGCCTGAACCTGAGCCAGCTGCCCCCTTCACATCCCTGCACCCCAGTGAACTCTGGGGGGAGGGGGGGGGGGGGGGTTAGGGTGGCTCAGGTTCAGGCTCTCAGCGGCTTAGGGCTTTGGTCCTGCGCCTTCAGAGCGGCGAGGAGAACTGAGCAATCAGTGGTGTCTGATCATTCAGTTCTCGCCTTTAGAGCCAGAGAAGGACAGATGCAAATTCGGATCGATGTTGCATCCACCTAGGCAAGTATGATTTAAAAAAAAAAAAAAAAAAAAAAAACTTCTCTTAAAATTATTCACCATTTTGGGCAGGTGGTGGGGGGAGGGGTGTACTTTGAATAAGCAGACTTTATCACTGAGGTCCAAGATCCGCTTTACATTTCCTTGCTGAGGACTCTGATCCTGTTGCATGGCACTTACCTCTACTGCACTGCAGAGCTCTATGCTGGGTGGAATGTTGCAATGGACTGTAGAGGCAGGTGGACTCCAATCCTTACGAAATAGTAGCCTGAGTTCTTCTCCAGCCATGTTGGAAGGCATTGGAGAACTTGAGTGTCCTATACAATATATTTTTCTAGGTGGTACAATATTTCCATTTAACTTTTTACTCTGCTGTGCGTTGTCTTCCTATAGCTATTGGGGGCCTCAGAATCACTTTTTTCTTTGTAATTTCTGCAGGGGGTCCGATACCGCTACTTTGAACTTGGGAAGAATGCAGACCCTGAAAGAGAAGGTGACCCCCGCTTCAAGAACGCATTCACAGCCCACCCTGTTCTGGACCCTGTACAGATGTATCGCCTCCACAAACACTTTGCACAGGTGGAGCTGGAGAAGACGTACCTGGAGATCGAGCAGCTGCAGGTGAGCAATGGCGAATGTAACTTGAGCTTGGAAAAGGAGGGTTCCTGCCGGAAGTGAGCGATCCTCATTTGGCTTATGTTTTTTTTCACCTACACAGAAAAAAATGACAGCCAGCTTTAGATTGCTCTGGACATCACCTTCATTGTTCTCTGCTTTGGTGTTTAAGGCTTGAGCTCCTTTCTACCACCAGTTTTTTGAGTGGGAAGCAGTGGCAGCCCCTTAGCTTCACTTAGTTTTAGTTGCTGGCCTGGAACAAATAAAGATGTGTATGCAATTTTGCAAAAGCCTTTTGACTGCCCAAAGTCTCAAGCCTGCCACACCCCTTTTGCGGTGCAAGCCTGCCCACACCCCTTTGCGGTGCAAGCCCGGCGGTGCAAGCCGCGCCACACACCCTTCTGCGGCGCAAGCCCGCCACACCCCTTTCTGCAAGCCCGCCACACCCCTTCTGCGGTGCAAGCCCGCCACACCCCTTCTGCGGCGCAAGCCCGCCACACCCCTTCTGCGGCGCAAGCCCGCCACACCCCTTCTGCGGTGCAAGCCCGCCACACCCCTTCTGCAATGCAAGCCTCCTTGGTGATCTGAAAGGCTGAGCTTTGATGAATGGGTCTGCTGACCTCCAGCTTGGTGCCAGCAGCTTCCATTTGTAAACAGAGAGCCTGTTGACTTCATCGTGATACCCTTGACTTCATTGTTTGCTGTGTAACCCTCAGAATCCATTTGCTGTATGTAGCCAGGTACACACGTGGCGTTCAGTAGGCCTGAACAATCTTACAAGACAGGGGTGACATCATCAGCCCACATAAGTTTGAAAAATGACTATTTTGCTGCTGTTGTGGTGGATGAAGGATCAGTGTGGGAGGGTTGTGAAGGTGAGTGTTAGGTGGTGAGGGGTGGGCTTTAAAGAGAGCCTGTCTTTTTAGCTGTGATTGGACAACATGACATGGTCTGATTAAAACCGAACTCCAGGTTTGATTTAAATTGTTTGCTTGAGCTAAATTGGTCCAAACGATTCCTTCACTACCCATGTGCTTGTTGGGAGCATTGTATACATTATAAGTAGTATCCGCTACATGAGGTATACAGCACTGTGTTCTAGCAGTGGGATGGCGATTTCCTATCCTGTTGCAGGAACAAAATTGAGCTGAGCTAAGCAGCACGCTCAGTCATTCAGAGGAAGCTTGGTATTTTCTGAATGAATACAAGGCTTCCTGTGAATAAAGAGGTGGGCAGATGACATCAGAATCTCTACCTTAGCCAATCGGAGAAAACTCTGTATTCTTTTTTTAAAATTTAAAGCTGCTTCTGAATGGCTGAGGGGCACTCAGCCTGGCTTGAGTTTGTTCCGGGAATGGAATGGAAAGTCTCTATCCCGCTGCTGTTACAGAGCACTGCATACTGTATAAAGCTGATGTTACATACAGTTTGTATACAGTGCTGACAGCGGACGCATCTATTGGTGAAGAAGAGGATTCATTTGGACCAAGCTGATATTAAAAAAAAAAACAAATTAACTTTTTAAAGTTAAGTCAAACCTGGAGTTCCTCTTTAAAGTGTGTGGGTCATGTGACATGCTCTCTTTAAAGTATATGTACGCCCTGTATACAATATATGTACTCCCTGTATATGTACACCCTCTATACAGTATATGTACGCCCTGTAATGTACACCCTCTATACAGTATATGTACACCCTCTATACAGTATATGTACGCCCTGTATATGTACACCCTCTATACAGTATATGTACGCCCTGTATATGTACACCCTCTATACAGTATATGTACGCCCTGTATATGTACACCCTCTATACAGTATATGTACGCCCTGTATATGTACACCCTCTATACAGTATATGTACGCCCTGTATATGTACGCCCTGTATATGTACACCTCTATACAGTATATGTACTCCTGTATATGTACACCCTCTATACAGTATATGTACTCCCTGTATATGTACAGCCTCTATACAATATATGTACACCCTGTATATGTAGCCCTGTATACAGTATATGTACTGTATATGGAAGCCTGTGTATGTACTGTATATGTACGCCCTGTATACTGTATATGTACGCCCTGTATATGTACGCCCTGTATACTGTATATGTACGCCCTGTATATGTACGCCCTGTATACTGTATATGTACTGTATATGTACGCCCTGTATATGTAGCCCTATGTACTGTATATGTACGCCCTGTATACAGTATATGTATGCCCTGTATATGTACTGTATATGTACTGTATATGTACTGTATATGTACGCCCCTGTATATGTAAGCCCTATGTATACTGTATATGTACGCCCTGTATATGTACAGTATATGTACGCCCTGTATACAGTATATGTATGCCCTGTATATATGTAAGCCCTGTATATGTACGCCCTGTATATGTACGCCCTGTATGTATGTATATGTACTGTATATGTATATGTACGCCCTGTACTGTATATGTATATGTACGCCCTGTATACTGTATATGTACTGTATATGTATATGTACTGTATATGTAAGCCCTGTATATGTAACTGTATGTATGTATACTGCCCTGTATACTGTATATGTATATGTAAGCCCTGTATACAGTATATGTACTGTATATGTATGCCCTACAGTATATGTAAGCCCTATGTATATGTACGCCCTGTATATGTAAGCCCTATATACAGTATATGTACGCCCTGTATACAGTATATGTACGCCCTGTATACAGTATATGTACGCCCTGTAGTATATGTACGCCCTGTATACAGTATATGTAAACCCTGTATACAGTTTCCTTAAGCAAATGATCATTTGTGAATCTGTTGCATAATTTCTGGAGATGCCGACAATGTTAAGCCACTACCTCACAAATGGGGCAGCATTGTCTGTCTGTCATGCAAGCTGCTTCAGTTGGCCTTTGGGCTGCCTGACTGATAGATCAGACAGGCAGCCCAGTGTACTACTGAATGGTTGCACATGTCACCCTGACAACACTGCTGCAGTTTGTAAGGCAGTGAGTAATCGTTGTCATCCTGCAACAGGATGTGCGGTGACTGGCAGGTTCTCCAGAAAATAAACTTTGCAACAGATGCACAGAAATGACCTTGGACCGAGATTAGAATGCCGCTCAAAGCCAGGGATTCCATTCCCATGATCCAATGGTGAAGGGGTGCCAAGATGTCAACAGGCCCATCCAGAGCAATGTGTGAAGTAACTCTCCCAACCAGCCACCATAACCTGTGTATAAGGATTGGCTTCGGCCTACGTGTCATCGCCAAGAAACCACACCCCACATAGGCTGAAGCCGATCCTCATACATGGGCTACGATGGTTTGGGGAGCGGAGTTCTCTCTGTTTACTAGATTCAAGTAAATGCTTTGGTTTAGAAAACAGTACAGAATATGGTTTGATGCCAAACATACTGAAAAAAAAAAAGCTTTAGTGCTTACATACACCTTAATAAAAGAAGCTTGCATAAGGGAAAAGCTCTTATGTTTAGGCACACTGGCTTCCTGACACCTTGGAATTCTTCATTTCTGTCCCATGTCTCTTTATAAAGTGTTGCCCTGATATTAAAGTGTTACTAAACCCACAACAGTACAATCAGTCTGTAGATGCAGTAAAGCATGCTTGTTATACTCACTGTGCACCTAAGGGGTTTAATCCTCTGCATTGTGTAAAAACACTGTTTGAGCCTGACTTCTCTGATCCTCCCCTTCTTCCAATGTCCCCCTCTAATCTCCTGATAAGACCTATATTGTGTGGAGTCACTCTGCACATGCTCAGTTTGGTGTGTATTGCTAGAGGTTTCTTTTTTTTTTTTTTTTTTTTCTTGGGAGAGTGCATGTGATCAGCACTGTCCAGACAGGTCAGAGGTTCTGCATCCCCCTAGAGCAAAATGAAAACTCCTACAAGCTTTAACTAGTGATCTGCTGGGGTCCGGGGAGACCGGATATGGCGACTGCGGGGTCCGGGGAGACCGGATGTGGCGACTGCGGGGTCCGGGGAGACCGGATGTGGCGACTGCGGGGTCCGGGGAGACCGGATGTGGCGGGGTCCGGGGAGCCCGGATGTGGCGGGGTCCGGGGAGCCCGGATGTGGCGGGGTCCGGGGAGCCCGGATGTGGCGGGGTCCGGGGAGCCCGGATGTGGCGGGGTCCGGGGAGCCCGGATGTGGCGAGTGCGGGGTCCGGGGAGCCCGGATGTGGCGAGTGCGGGGTCCGGGGAGCCCGGATGTGGCGAGTGCGGGGTCCGGGGAGAGCGGATGTGGCGAGTGCGGGGTCCGGGAGAGCGGATGTGTGGCGAGTGCGGGGAGAGCGGATATAATGAATGCGGGGTCCTTGGTTTAGGAACACTTTAAAGCTAGCACCCAAGGTGGTAGTGACTGAATTGCTTCCAACCATTTGTCACACGTGTAGGATGTTTGGTATTTTTTGTAACCGTGTTCTAAAGAAAAGGTCATATTGGCTTTAGGTAGTACTCGATGGCCCTCTCACATGGCTCACCAACACCCAGTAATGTTCACCTGCTATAGAAGAGAACCAGTATGACTACATACCATTACACGGTGATATGTACAACCTGTCCACTGTCAGCATCGGGATTCTTCGTAATGTGTGCGTTGTTAAGGTGACTAACCAGCTAACCTCGTACCTCATCTAAAAGTGAAGGTTAAAGAAGAATGAAAATACCTTTTTTACTTTTACCCCGTCAGTCAGATCCTTCAGAGGTCTCCCCTCAGTAGATCTTTGTAATATTTTGTGATGTCAACAAAATGTTGTCCATCTGCACACCGGCACCGACTCCCTGCTGTATAAATGTAATGAGATGGCTAAAGATGGCTTCAGCTCCTGTTCTCCACCTGTATTGTTTTGGGCAGTTGTGTTCGAGGTGGGCAGTTGTATGGCTAGTTGGGTGTAGGCTGGAATTCCACTTTACCTAAGGAGCTCCTGGTGCCCCTGTACTGGAGTTGGGGGCAATTTTGCCCATATTCATAATGCTTTAGCAGATTGATGTCCAGGAGTGGCTGACATCCAGCTTTTCGAGGCGCTGTGCCCGGCATATGTACCCCCTATTAGTCTTGCTGTTGATGGAGGCATTTTAGGCTCCCATAGGAACAAGGACTTTTTGCACCATTTTCCATCTTGCGTACAAAGATTTTGCAGCAGGAGAACGAGACGCCCTTATTGGGCTTTCCAAAAGACGACGGATCTAAAAAATGTGGCCTCTAGACCCAGAGTGACATAAACAGAGTGGGGTAGTTGGCTTGCCTTCCTCCACCTATAACTGAAATATCAGTTTTTTTTACGAGACGTCCATGTGAGCTAACAATCTGGCAGTTGTATTTGGTCAGCTGGCTCCAGTTTCTCACGTAGAGTCATTTCTCGGCATCTTGCAGTGTAGTAGGCCCAGAGACAGTAGCAGCTCTGTCTTCGCCATTCCGCTCACTGAAGGTGGTCAGTGCTGCCCCCCACTGGCCAGTTTAATGAACTTTTTTTTTTCTTTTCTTTTTTTCGCCTTCTGAAGCGTCTGCCATGAATTTTATGCTCTCGTGTTTTATAACTCGTCCGTTTTTATCTCTGTGTTCCGAGGCGTTCCAGCAGAATGTTCACTGTACTCAGGAAAATAAATTGATATTGGAAGGGATTGGCACAGAAACACTGGCTAGAGTATATGTGAAATCACAGAAAAGGGAAGAAGAAAATGTTATCACTGTTAGCAAGTGTTTTTCTCATTGTGTCTTCCTACGTTCATGGATTTGTGGAATGAATAATAATTGTGTTACAAGTAGCATGAAGGATAGGCTCCCCCACACACTGTATAGAAATCTGTTCATCGGTAGATCTATAGTGCCACCTTGTATCAGTCTGAGGGTACTGCATGCTATGGAAGGAATATGGAACTCCATTGTGTGGGCAATTAGCTTCTCTGCCAGCAAGAATTCACATCAGGGAAACTTCGACCCCCCCCCCCCCCTTCCACACATTGGGGGAGATTTATTAAACCTGGAGCACACAGAATCTGGTTCAGCTGTGTATAGCCACTTGCCACCAAATCGTGTACATGTCCGTGATTGACTACAAGTGTTTAGCCATAACCCCAGTATTGTTTTCCTCAGCCGGCGATGCTGTACAAGGTAATGGCAATACTAGTGGCTAATTAGCTGCTGGCTTGCTTTTACAGCATCGGAAGTGGGTCCCCTAATCCCCTGTTATCGTCGTCGTCTTACCCCCCCCCCCCCCCACCACCACTGTCTGGGCTCTCTTGTCCCAACGGGGAGCCTTTGATCTGATCCTGTAGTTGCTCCAACCTACAATAGAGGTGTTCGGAGACCAGATAATTTCCGATCACCCCTATGGCCTATGAGACCGGAAGCAAAAAGCATTTTCGGCATTTCCAGTTAGGGCAAATTTAAACACTTTTTTTTTTTTTTTTTCTGGAATGAATAGTTTTTTGGGGGTTTTTTTTTTCCTTTTTTTTTTTTTTTTTTTTCCCATCTCATGTTTTCCAAGGTAGAGGAGAGATCTGTGGTCACCCCAGATGTCTCCATAAAGAGGACCTGTCATGCCTTATTTCTATCACAAGGGTTATTTACATTTCTTATGATAGTCATAAAAGTGAAAAAAAAAAGCAAAACCCATTAGTAAACAGTGTAAAAAAAAAAAAATAAAAAACATTTTTTTTTTCTTTTTAAATAAAACCATATTTGTTTTATTTTTAAAACGCCCCTGTCCCCTTGTGTTTTTGCACAGAGGCGAATGCATACGTTATTTTTGTCTGCAGGAGCCTGAAAGCATTGCACCAGTGATCAGTAGATCGCTGATGCCATGCAGGTCCCCTGCAGACCTTCAGAATTTCTGCTTGCCGTACCGGTTTTATGAGCAAGGAGATATTCTGACAGGAAGAATGAATGAACTACCACGACGCTGTGAAGTTCATTGAGGACTACAAACTGACAGCCGCTAAGGCTTTTGGGAATTGTATTCTCTCATTCACAGATGACTGTGAATGAATGACGCGGCCGTGTGGGCAGAACCCCCGTGCGTCCACGGGTTTTTAAAAATTTGACAGCTAGTGAGTGGGAAGAAGATCCCCCCGCTAGCTGTCAGAATGGGGGGGGGAGCCAGGGCCGGTTTGAACGGAACATGTTACACCCTGAATATGGATCTAATGCAGGCCATAGACGGGTCGTTTATCGGCTGAATTTTCGTCCACACAAAAAATCGTCCGATAATCATGCCGTTAGTGGGGCCAGCCCGTTGCCTGTTTTAGGTGGATCTCCTCATTTATTTTTATCGGTCATGCTGAAAAATCCGTGAAAAACTGCCATTTTTCATGGACATGGGTGGCAGCATCGGCAACAGGGCCGACCGATTATTTTTCATTTATTGGCCGAAAATTCGGCCGATAAACGGCCCGTCTATGGTCTGCCTAACATGTTACGAAAGGTGAACTTCTCCTTTGAGCAAAGCATCACTGCCATGGCATGTGCACACCACTGAGCATTGTCTTCCCAGCTAAAGGAGGAGCGGGTGAAGAATGGTAAAAACTGCAAGTATAAATGAGACCTAAACCTGCAGTGTGTTCCTGCATTATTTCTCTTTTATTGTGTTCCTGTATCGGGAATCCACTTTTATTGCTCCCTGTAATATTATCACCAGGCATATAAAATTCTTGAAGGGGTTGCTATTTGGGGGTCAGTTCCTAACATGGCCACACGCCCAGAACTACATCTCCCAGGAACCCTTTCCCTACATACTGTCTGTGGGTGGGACTCATGGAAGTCAAGGCGTTGTTTTGCTGGCAAAAAATGTGTGTACATATAGAGATGGGTAGGGGAAAATGTTATATATTTGTCTGGATTTGAACTTTGTATGGAGTACAGGACCAAAAATGTCTGTATGAACTGTTTTTAATGTGCCGTTACCTGTTAAGTGGATAAGTAAATCTTACATCTGTTTTCTCTTTTTCAGCGGGAGATAAAGAACACCAGCAGCCTGTCTGTGGAAGGAGAGCAGTCTGCCACCTGGCCTCTTGGGATCAGTGCCCCATTCCAGCCCCGTACGCGTTTTGAGGTCCTGCGCTGGGATTACTTCACCGAGAATCAGGCTTTCTCTTGTATCGATGACTCTCCGAAGTGCGAGCTGATTGGAGCTGATCTTGCCGATGTCACCGATGTCATCAGCACAGCTGTCGATGAGCTCAACCGCAAGTACCAGCCGGTGCTACACGTGCGCAAGCAGCAGCTCCTGAATGGTTATCGCCGCTTTGATCCAACACGTGGCATGGAGTATACACTGGACCTACAGCTGGAGCTGGTGACACAGAAGGGCCACAGCCGTTCCATCACCAAGAGGGTCCACCTGGTACGTCCGCTCAGTGAGGTGGAAATCATCCCCATGCCATATGTGACCGAGGCCAGCCGTATCAATATCATCCTACCCCTAACTGCCCAAGACCGAGAACATGCTGGGGCCTTCCTTAAGGCCTTCACAGACATCCAGGGCAATGAAAATTCTCTACTCACCCTGTTGTTTATATATGACCCCTTCCAGGCCCAGCAGGTCAGCCAAAATGATATTTTCAGCCAAGTCAAAAGCCAAATTGCAGAGTACGAGCGCAAATACCGCGACATAAAAATCCCATGGATCAGCGTGAAGACAGACGCGCCTTCCCAAATCCGGCTTATGGACATCATCTCCAAAAAGCACCCTGTGGATACTCTATTCTTCCTGGCCGGTGTCGGGAGCCACGTCAGCTCCGAGTTCCTCAACCGTTGTCGCATGAACACCATCAACAACTGGCAGGTCTTCTTCCCCATCCACTTCCAAGGTTACAACCCCGAGGTGTCTGAACATGGGCAGCAGTCTCCCTCCGGTACCCTGGAACTGTTGCGTGATGCTGGCAGATTCGACAGGGACGTCTTCGATGAGGCTTGCTTCTACAACGCCGACTACATGGCAGCGCGCACCAAAATGGCAGCCGACGCTCAGGAGAATGAGGATATCGTGGAAATGCTCGACATATACGAGATGTTTATTCGCTACTCGGGGCTCCACGTCTTCCGGGCAGTGGAACCAGCCCTGCTTCAGTCCTACCGTACCCGTTCTTGTAACCCACGCCTCAGTGAGGAAATTTACCATCGGTGCGTGCAGAGCAATTTAGAAGGACTGGGCTCTCGTTCCCAGCTGGCCATGCTTCTGTTTGAGCAGGAGCAAGGGAACAGCACCTGACCAGAGCCTTAAAACTGACGGCTTTGTTGAGATTGTGGGGCCTTGTTAGAGACCTCGGACTCCTTTTTACATACCAGGACACCGATGTAGGTGCCAGAAACAGAACTTTACTGGCCTCATTACAGTACAGCACCAAGTGTGTGTGCTTCATCTTGAATCAAGACTCTATAAAAACTTGAAAACTCTTACCGTTGGACGTGAGGGGACCTCCCCTTCAACATGGACTGCTGACAGTGTTGTCTTTTTGTGCTTGTGCAGCACCCCACTCTGCAATAATTGCTGAACTGTCAATGATTCTGTTGACGTTGCTCCTTCCTGGAGAGGGGCTGCAACCCTTGGGCTCCTCCTCCTTCATGGTTCCTCATCCAAAGAACTCTTGAACAAACATCCCAAATGGTCTATTGTCTTGTTTTTGTTTTCATGAACGTTTTAATTTAACTCTGTGGTCCATTTGGTTTTACGGGATAGATTTTATTTTATATAGGTGATCGGAAATAATAAACTTTTTGTTGTAAACCTTTGCCGCCCCGGTGCTGTAAAGTATGTAGCACCATCTCTGTTTGTAGAGTACGTAGTGGTGTCCTTTTTTAGTTCTTCAATTCATGGGGAGACAAGGGCTTGTGACTTTGCTGCTCCAGGGGCTCAAAAACAATGTCCTCAAATGTAATCTGTTCCATTGTACAAATGGTTCATCTGACTTCTAACGGTTTTTAGCCTTCAGCTTATAAATTGGTTTCCTTCACGTTTTTTCACATCTACAGATGTCAATACCAAGTCAGGCTGGATGGCACTTATTTCTCATCTCTGTTCATTCATCTCTTGGCCCTCATTCACTTCCAAACTGGCAACTTCAAGTGTAAAGTTTGTTCTAAGAGATGTAATCTGCTTGAAACACTCAAACCCAACTCTAAGTACGGTACTGCTCCAAGGTCCTCAGCTGTATCTGTCTCAGACGCCACCTCCGGGATTCGGTACTTAAGGTAACAAACTTGAGTAAAAGCACAAAGCTGCATACTGCCAGTTGGAGCGGCTTAAAAACAACTTTATTGATCCAACAGAAATGAGGACACTCCATCCACGCCTCCCTTTAACTCCTTCTGCCCCCTGCTGGGGCTTAACTGATAAGCTCTATGATTAAGCCTCAGCAGTGGGTGAAAACATGTAGGTGTGGGTAAAGTGTCCTCATTTGCAGGATCAATAAAGTTTGTTTTTATGCAACTCACTATTTGCGTGCAGCTTCCTGCTTTTCCTACCTTGTATTTGTTATTTGATAGAGATTCTCCATATTCTATCTGTTTTTTGTTTGTTTTTTTATAACTGTTTGTGTCCATATTGTGGAAAATTTCACAGACATGGCAGTTGAAAGCTGAAGGAATCCTTTCCCCACTCATATTGGTGTCTGTCTGACCACTGGAAAATTCCCTTCACTTGGTGTTGTCACCAAAACAGGAAGTAGGCAGTTGGGAGCGCCAAAAAAAAAAGTGTACGGTTCTTAATCCTTTCCAGCTCTTTTTTTTTTTTGTTAGTATGGTTTTTTTTGTTTGTTTTTTTTCTCTCTAGTTTCTTTAAGGGTCCATTTACACCTCTGTGGTGTTTTCATGTGTTTAAAGTGCAACAAAACTCGCTGCAACAACTGTTTTTTTTTTTTTTTTTTTTTACTTTATTTCTCCCTCTCTCGCTTACACCAAAGCTAAAACATATTCCATTTTTTTTTCTTCATTTCTTTTTGTGCACTGCCAGTTCTCTGGCCTAGGCTGGGCCCTGCTGCCTTCTAGAATTGTTACACTTATCCCAGGAGGCAGTGTGTTCCTAAGCCACAACTGTGTGGCACGTGCTCCCGGGTGGTATAGTGGCAATCCTCTAGAAGCTGGCAGCGCCTGTGCGTGCATATGCACCATCAGTCTTTGCCAGGTCCTTTTATACCAAGAGGATTCCAGGCATGCATATGTGCACATACACGTGCGTTTTTAGGATGACGGCGTGGAAGAAAGGCCATTTCTTCAGCAGTTTAGTTCCACTTTATTATGTGTTACGGCAGACTATTATAGTGAATGGGCTGGCAACGCACCACAATGTCCCCAAAGATGAACAATCTCCATTTTTACAATTCAGCTCACCACAAGGCATGGTAGAGCATTACTGCGCTGTTTGGTGTGCTAAAACGCACGTGCGTTTGGGTGTCAATCAAATCGAATTACCATACCAAACCACAAAGGTGCGAATGGGCCCTAAATACATTCAATTACAGTGACAACATCAGTAATCCGTAAACTGGTCAGGATTGTTAGCAGGAGGTACAGTAGCCCATAACAACCAATTAAAGTTCACTTTACTGATGCGTGAGCAGTACATGATGGAATTTTGTTACTGGTGACAACTGCTCGGTTCAGGAGAACAAACCAGAATTCACAGCAGCCAACCCCACGTGCAGCTTTCAGCCCTGTTAATAGACCAAGCCTGATGCAATTGCTGTGTATGACCTGTCAGTCCCTCATCCTGCATTTCTCTAGCCCTAGATGTGTGTTCTGTGTTCCGGGCTGCGGGCGACACATGTTTTAGGTTTGTCTTTTCTCTACACTTGAATCCATCCTTGACGTTCGTTGCCTGCTGCAGTAGTTGGCCTCATTGCCGTTCCCTCGAGTGATGTGGAGGCCCATCTGAAACTGGCTGTATTGATCTTACACTGGGGACGAAGGAGGTGCCGGCCTGCTTTCCTGAATCAGAAGGAGATGATTATCCCGAAGAGATTTTTTTTTTTTTTTTTTTCCTACTACAAATCTGAAACACCGCAGGCGCCTCTTGGAAGCAATTGTTTTTATATTATCTATTTAATATTTTGGGGTTTTGTCAATTGATTGAAATATACTACTTTAATAAAAATGCAACAAATACTTACTGATCTTTTTTGTTTATTTGTTGTTGTGTTTAATTTTTTTTCTTCTGTTTTTGCTATTGAACAAGATTGATGTACCGGCTCCTCTCCTGGACCCTAAATAGCTTGCTCTGATTTGACTGCATACTGGGAGCTGCTCACAATGTGCATTAGAAGCTGCAGCAAGTCAGAGCCTGTCTTATTTTCTGGCTGGAGGATGTCCAGCATAGTCTAATCCTTTCCTTTCCAGGCCTACTGTCCTTGGCTTATCTCATTCATTTATTAGATCTTGATTCTTTCAATCATGGAGGCTCTGGACCACGTGTGACCCATTCTACATGCAAATGCAGCCTTTCCTAGGAACACCCACTCCTCCAGACCTGGGGCGGACTGACCATTTGGAAACTTGGGCACTGCCCGGGGTCAGTAGGGGGCCCCATGAGATGCCCCTGGTACCTTTTTCATAGGCTTTTTTTAGTTTGGGCAAGGACCAGGGGCCCCATGATCCCCTATTGCCCAGGGGCCCCATGAGTTGTCAGTCCGCCCCTGGTCCAGACTAACGTCCACCCTCTAAGGCATTTAGATATTTGCAGAACTCCTCCCAAGAGCCAGCTCACTGCGGCAGGGTGCTGTAATGCTTTCAGGAAGCGATGTATAGCATCCAGGAAAGGCAAAATATAAGTAGATGAAAGTGGTTCTAAAGGCAAGCGAATTTGTGGTTGTGCGTGTGTCTTTTTTTTCTTCTTTTTGTCATGCCATCCATGCTCACTGCAGTGGTTTTGCACAGACCAGCCTTGACCCTCTGCTGGCACTCCTGGCTCCTCCGCCTTGCCGAGTGCCCCCATGGAAAATGGCTTGCTATAGGGGTACTCGTGTGCATGCTCACTCCCAAGCTGGCTCTGTGTGTCCATTGATACACATTGTGGCGTGGCCCCCGCCCCCTGCTCTATCTTCGCTGGCTGTGATTGAAAGCAGCGGGAGCCAATGGCTCCCACTGCTGCCTCTGTCCAGTGGGGTGGGAGAGAGCCACTGCTCTCGTATTCGGTGATTAATTGAGATTGGGCTCAGGTAAGTATTTGGGGGGTGGTGGTGGAGGAGGGGGGCTGCACACAGAAGGGTTTTTACTTTAATCCATAGAATGCATTAAGGTTAAAAAAGAATGCCTTCAGAATCACTTTAACATTCAGCTTTGAATTTTACACAATTTGTTTTTCGGTTTATAGGGTGCAATTTTACCTTTTCTTTAAATATTTGTGTTCCTGTTCATGGTTCTTCCTCCAAACCCAATAAAATCTTTGTAAAGAGTATGACTGAAAACCATGAAAATAGTATGACTAATGTCAAATAACTGGAGAAGGGATCATGTAGCAGTGCGCACAAATAGAATATTCTCTTTAACCTGAAGTTAGGACTGAAAATGAGTGAAAACGCTCCCAAACAAATTTTTATGTTTTCTGAAAGAGGACATCCTGAAGAATAAAATAGAGACAGTTTCAAGTGTTTTTCTTCATACCACACAATGTTAGTGGCCATGATTATTAAACACGTTTTTCAGTAAAACATTTTATGGTACACAAACACAATGTAAAACCCAATTTTTTGTAAGCACATGCCAGAGAAAAGGCAACAGATTTGCCAGAAGGCAATGCTTTGAAAGCCTTTAACCGTGAATGATGGCCCTTATTGCTGTCATTCTGGCAGCTGTGGAGTAATCAGGAGGTCATGAGGCCCTTTGCAGGGGGCAAGCTCTAACCACTTGCTGCCTTCTGAATGTATAAAAGTGGCCTGAATGCAAGTCCTTATAACAAGCTCATGGCTTTTTGTTTTTTTTTTTTTACAGACGGCAATCAGCTCTTCAGTAAAATGGATCTGGGCAGCTCTACAACTACCCGATCACTTTTACTGTAGTTAGAAGAGCCAGACCCCCTTCCCTGCTACTGCCTGTGGTAGTTCCTGTCGGGATGCTCCTTGATCTTCTCTTTAGCTCGCTATTCTGGCTATTTCCTCTGTAACTAATGAATCCAGAAGTGAGAATGATTTTGTTACTTCTGGTTTCAAAGCTGTCATTCACTGGCTGTTACAGCCAGGGAAGCAGCTAATTAAGCACAATCGGTGCTTGGTTAGCTGC